TCTAAGGATAGATACCTTTCTCCCCAGCTTCTACTTTAAAAAAGAAGAAAAAGAAAAAGGTAACAGAATATCGTGACAACATACTGGTATAACATCTTTTTGGGTGGAGTCTTCATGACAAAATATTATTAATTTTGCTTAGTTTAGCTATTGTTTAGGAAATTAAAATTTAAACAACCCAACATATATTACATTGAGTTATTCTCTTAACTATGTTGACGTTTTAATATGAAATACTAAGAGCACATCAAATTTCATTTTGTGCAATATCATTTTTTATCTATGACATATCATTTAGCAAACAAAGTTGGACTGGATACAAAAGCAAAAGTATAAATTACGCCCCTGTTTAATGACCCTTTTTTTCTCGAAAACAATGTTTTGAATAGTGATTTTTAGAAAAAATGTGTGGTTAAAAAAGTAAAGAAAAATTTTGGATTTACATATTAAATATTTTATTGTATTAATGTGTAGTAGAAAATGAGTATGTAAAAAAAGATTCAAATAATGGTTGTCAAATAGGGGCTAAATGATCCATTAATTGAGAATCAATCCATAAACTTAATAATCTCTTATATTTTTCACCCTATTATAAATTAGTTGTCATTTTGCAAAGTAGCGTGTGAAATTCAAGTGCTTGTAAGCTTGCATATAGAAGCTTTGATGCTGGAGAATTTGGCAGTGGAATGATGGACATTTTAATTTGAGTCGCGTCCGTACACAAGTCTGCTCACAATACAACCAATGTCAGACGTGATAAATATCAAAAGAGCCGTTGGTTTTATCAGAAGAGCCGTTGGTTTTGTAAATGACACATATACCCTCATTTAACAAAACTATTGACATTGCAAAAGTGGGGCAATATTGTCCTTTTTTTTTGCGTTTGAAGAGGTTTTAGCAAAAATACTATTCAAACATATAACATTAATAATTGTAATTTCTGCATCACTGCTATGATGTACCCTTTGAAAAATGAAGAACAAATTAATGAAATTTAATGTCAATTAAGGGGCAAACAGGGGTAAAATATATTTAAGGAGAGGAGCAATAATTTTTATTTATACTTCAATCCATTGCAATTTTCATAGCCAGG